TGCCGCCTTTCTCGAGGAGTTCGAGGAGTTCTTCGTGGACATCCACACATGCCAAAAGTTGTTCCAAATCGCTTTCACGTTGTTAGGGTTTAGGGTTTAGGGTTTAGGGTTTGGGCTAGGGTTTAGGGTTTACAGGAGCTCCTTTCCCATCAAAACCCTCATGTTTTTGCCGCCTTTCTCGAGGAGTTCTTCGTGGACATCCACAAATGCCAAAATTTGTTCCAAATCGCTTTGACAAGCTCCCGAATTCAAAAGAGAAACAAAAAGAGAAAAAGGAGAAAAAGATGAAAACCCGCAAAACCCTAATCGCCGCTGAGACGTCAAGCAGTGAAGGCGCGACTGCAGCACTCCCCACTCGTACTCGAAGCCCGTCAAGTGCTGCAGCAGCAGCAGCAGCAGGAGCAGCAAATGCACAGCAGCAGCAGCAGCAGGAGCAGCAAATGCACAGCAGCAGGAGCAGCAAATGCACAGCAGCAGCAGCAGCAAATGCACAGCCAAATCAAGCGCATTAAAGCCCTCCCACCCTGCAGCAACATCTAGCAAGCTAGCTAGCTAGCTAGCTAGCTAGTTAGCTGGCTAAGTGGCTAGCTAGCTAGCTACCCCCGACCCCCGTCCGAGCGAGCTAGCTAGCCAGGGAGCCAGCTAGCCAGCTAGCTAGTAGCCCCCTCCCACCCCTACGGAGCGACCCAGCTAGCTAGCTAGCTAGCTAGCTAGCTGGCTAGCTAGCTAGCTCCCGACCTGCCGCGGCCGCGCGCCCGCCAGCCGCCCAGCCAGCTGGGCAGCTAGCAGCCAGCTAGCCAGCTAGCCAGCTAGCCAGCTAGCCAGCTAGCCAGCCAGCGAGCCGCTTGCCTGTCGCTTGAACTTGAGCTTGTGCTCCTTGTGGTCCTTGTCCTTGAGGACGTTGGCCCAGGCCCTTATGGGGTTTTGGCGGACTCTGCCGAGGGCGAAGTCATTGGCGAGGTCCAGCGAAGTGTTTAACGCTAAAAGAGAGTTTCCGCCAATACACTCTTTTTGGTAAAGCCGCAAATACATTTCCCGACAGGCGTTGAAAATCATCAAGTACAATTCGCCTTCTCTTTCTTTCCGCAGCACTTTCCGCCGAACGCCCCCCGCCAGCTCGCTCTCCGTGGGGCGCGGAGACAGAGGCAGCTGCAGCAGCAGCAGCAGCAGCAGCAGCAGCAGCAGCAGCAGCAGCGGCGGCGGCAGCGGGTGGGGGGAGGGCGGGGCGGAGTCGTGCGGGGTAGACGGCGGGTTGGTGGCGGGTAGCTGCTGGCTAGCTGGTGGATAGCTAGCTGGGTGGCTAGCTAGCCGGGTGGCTGGCTAGCTGGGTGGCTAGCTAGATGGGTGGCTAGCTAGGCTAGCTAGATGGGTGGCTAGCTAGCTGGGTGGCTAGCTAGCCGGGTGGCTGGCTAGCTGGGTGGCTAGCTAGATGGGTGGCTAGCTAGGCTAGCTAGATGGGTGGCTAGCTAGCTGGGTGGCTAGCTAGCCGGGTGGCTGGCTAGCTGGGTGGCTAGCTAGATGGGTGGCTAGCTAGGCTAGCTAGATGGGTGGCTAGCTAGCTGGGTGGCTAGCTAGCCGGGTGGCTGGCTAGCTGGGTGGCTAGCTAGATGGGTGGCTAGCTAGGCTAGCTAGATGGGTGGCTAGCTAGCTGGGTGGCTAGCTAGCCGGGTGGCTGGCTAGCTGGGTGGCTAGCTAGATGGGTGGCTAGCTAGGCTAGCTAGATGGGTGGCTAGCTAGATGTGTGGCTAGCTAGCTGGGCGGCTAGCTAGCTGGGTGGCTAGCTAGATGGGTGGCTAGCTAGGCTAGCTAGATGGGTGGCTAGCTAGATGTGTGGCTAGCTAGCTGGGCGGCTAGCTAGCTGGGTGGCTAGCTAGCTGGTGGCTAGCTGGCTAGCTAGCTGGGTGGCTAGCTGGTGGCTAGCTGGGTGGCTAGCTGTATGTCTTGAGATTAAGGGATGTGGGTGCAAAGGATAAATAAAAAGAAACATTAAATTAAATTAAATTTAAATTAAATTAAAATTATATTTAAATTAGATTAAATTAAATTAAAACTAAATTAAATTAAATTAAATAAACTTACTTCGAAATAACTCTCGGAACTCGCGAGAGAAAAGCTGGTGCGCAGCTGGGCAGACGTAGGCGTTTCTGCTGCT